GCTGAGGGTTATCAAAAGCAGAGGAGTGTTGTAATAAAGATGCAACAGCTGAACTTGTAAGAGACTGACATTTATTTCTTGCCTTGGTCATTTGGCAGAGATAACAGCTGCAATAGGCTAATATCCTGCCACGTGAGAGGGCTAGCATCCAGCTACTGCAGCTGCCGTTGCAGGGGGAACAGGGCAGGGTGAACAGGGCAGAGTGAGGGCCAGCACTTTTTCTTGGTGGGGATTATATAGAGGGGTAGAAGCTTCTGTATTATAATGATGTGTGCGCCAACTGGGGTAGTACTGCCAGACTCACTGCCCAGTACATTGCAAGTCAGGTCCAAATATCATGAACTTCTTTCCTCCTTTTAAATAAGTGTTGAGTATTTTTATCATGACCATTTATCTTGCAGTAACACCTCCAGTCTCTGGTACAGATTTTCTCTGGGACTTTCTCCAAGTCCCTTAGCCCTTCAGCATTGCAACTTTAGATGGCAATTCCTTACCTCTTGGGGGTAAGGAGAGAAAATAAATGTAATGAAGAAATCAAGAGGCTCTCAAATACTACAGCAGCAGGCCCTGCCACGTACTTAGAGCAGCAGTTCTCAACCCTTTTCAGATCCAAGGCACCCCCTAAAAATGCCAGCTCTGAGTTTTCACTCAGTGTTTGACTATGGAAAAATACCAGAGCCACTTTTCTGTTCATAGACACTAGGGCTGGAAGGAACCTCGGAAGATCACCGGGTTCAGCCCCCTACCCGAGGGGCAGGAAGTCAGCTGGGGTCAAAGGATCCCAGCAAAATAAGCATTCAAATGTTTCTTAAAAAGTGTCTGGAGTAGGTGCTTGCACCACCTCTGGAGGCAGTGTATTCCAGGCCTTGGGGACTCGGACAGTAAAGAAGTTTTTCCTCATGTCCAGCCTAAAATGATCTTGGAGGAGTTTGTGACCACTGGACTTTGTCATCCCTTGGGGTGCTCTGGTGAACAGGTGTTCCCCCAGATCCCGATGCACTTATAGGCAGCCACTAGGTCCCCCCTGAGCCTATTCTTTTCCAGGCTGAAGAGTCCCACGCAGGAGCTCAGAAAGAACTGCAGGGCACAACTTTTTGGACATACTGGATTCCTATTGGAAATCACCAGGTTGATCTTGTGAATCGTGTGCAGGCCTTTGTTCACCCAGACGTGCTAACAGTGTAGGCACCCCAGGGCGCTGGGCTGGAGCAGCACTGACTTCGCCTAGAAGCCCCAGGCACAAACCAAGACCCCACTGTCCAGAGCACCACCACCACAACAAAATCCCATACTCTCTGCTGCAAAACACACGCAAAGCATCAGCCTTCGGGTTTTGGAGAGCTCCCATCTGCAACACCCAGGCCGAGGCTGACACCCGCAGGCAGAGAAAACCCCAAGACCCCCGAGGGCTGATCCCGACGGCCCCGCAAGCCCCGCCCCCAGGCCGCACCCGGCGTCACACACGCCGCTTACGCAAGGAGACTGGACCTTAAGGAGGAGGGGCCCCCTCCTCTCCCTTTGTGTTCAAACCGGCCAATGGGAGCGCGACGCTGCCGGTGATTGGCAGGCCCCGCGGAGGGGCGGGGGGGGGGGGGGGCGGGTG